AGGAAGAGGAAAACGAGACTCAGGAACCACGTGGTGGGCTCTCGTCAGCAAGACCGGGGCATGAATGAACGAACGTACGTAGTACGCGATACGGAAAATGGTGGTGGGGCGTAGGGACCAATGCCGATACGCGGTGTTGGCCGTGCGGCAAAACGTTGCCTGCTCCCTGCCTCTTGCAGACGCTCGCGGACTGCCAGACGCAATGGAACATTGTAGCAAGCGCGACGCGACGCGACGCGCCGCGACGAGAGGCCCGGCCCCGGCCCGGCCCGGCCCGCCGTCGAACGGGCGCGACACGCTCTTTCCTCTCGCGCGACCGATCTCTCGCCGACGCCGCGTTTGCGATCCACTCGAGCTACGTTCGACGACCCCGTTGTTATTTTTTTTTTTTTTTTTTTTCCCTCGACGGAACAATCTCTCAGCTGTGCGAATCATTGCGCTGAGTGTGTTTGCTTTGGAACACGGATTTGTATTGTGCTTCCCGCGGCGAATTAAAATGCAAATGGAAGCCTTGAAAGAAACAATGGTGTTTGGCGGAGTTGGAAAAAACTCGCGGTACGGTTAGGTTTCTCGAACGCCGGACTTTGGAAGAGAGTTGAGGGTTTAAAACCAAGTTGAGAGGAGCGTGTTCTAAATGTTCGAATCGCTCGTCCAACTTCTCGGTAACGATACAACGGAAATTAGAATTTCAAACGTTACATAGATATCCCACGAAATTTCAAGGAAACGACAAGTTTCGCCAGGATTCGACGGAATATCGGATAATTCAATTCAAATACGAAGGTGAATAAAAAAAAAAGAGGCATTTAAGAAATCGGTTAAGCATCTACGAAAGCAATAATACTTACCGAAGGTAAATTTGTTTAAGGCCGACCCCGCTATTGACGCAACCACCGGGCAGGTGGAATTGTTCGCACAACGACGCCCATTCATTTCTGGTATTGACCTGCAATAAAAAGAGCAAAATTCTTATGAAATATAGGTTATGAACTATAGCGCGCTAAATACCGCGTCTTCAATTTTCGCTATTCTTTTTAATATTCTATCAAAAAGGGAAGAAGCGCGTAAAAATTATCCGCAGACACGAGAGAATCTCCGCAAACGTGCATCAACCCGGAGTCTGCGAAATTAATTATTTGATAAAATCGCTTGTGTAACACGCTCGGATACTCATAGCGCTTCGTTATTTTAAGCTCAGCCACGGCATTTCGAAATCGAGAATAATTCGAGGAAATCCGCGCACACTTTTATCGTGCCAAGATTCTCGGCGACACCGTTTTCTCGCCGATCTCCCTTTGCGACGATATTTAAAAAAAAGATTTACAGCATAATAAGCTGCTGGCAGAAATTCTGCCGTTTCTTTCGCCGAGGGATCTCCCTTCGAGATATCTCAGAAATTCCTGCTGGCGAGGGCGCGCGAGATAAAGCGCGCGCTTGGCAGCGGGAGACATAAATTTCCGCGGTCGGCTGAAAAAATAAACGACGATTCTCGGATTCTCTGCACCGAGAAGAGGAAATCCGTACGCGAATGTATGCAGTGACAGCCCGGAAGTCCCGACCCTAATTTTAATAATAAAATCTTTTGTTAATGTACACATAACTTTTCCCGAATTAAGAATTCCGCGACGATCGTCAAGTTTTGTAAGCGACACAAGCAGAAATAGCGTCTAAATTTTCCCGAGGAAAAGAGAAAACAATTAGAAAGAATCCATCGTTAAAATCGAGCTGTCTGACTGGATCTGGGATATTCTATATAAATTAGCGCGCTGCCTTTGATCGTGAAACTGCGCTACGCGACACGGCCGAGAGACGAACTCGCGAATAAACTAAGAGCTGCATTCCACCGTGGAAATAAATGTTTATTGCGCTCGCGTTTATTTCGGTGAATTACGCACATAGAAGTCTCTGCGTTTCGCTTGTTCTCTCTTCATCGCCCGTCGCGCGATCATAGATCAAGAATATTGGACGAACGAAGACGCAAGAATCTCTAGTCTTCAAATATACGCGAGCAACTTTTATTCCAATTGCACGTATGAAGAAATACAGCGCGAGTGCTGGAACGAAGTCGTCGATATGTTAATACGCAACTTTTTAGCGATATATATTCGTCACGCATTCGAAGATGAACGCGATAAGAGTCTTATTTGTGTATCTTTTTTTTTTCCTTTCTTATTCCGCTAATGAATTTTCCGCAGTCGCGCGAGTCCGGAACCGTCTGCGCGCGGATCGACACGTGGTTCTACGAGCGTAGCACGTGGCCACGCGACGTAGAATCGTCGGCGGGCAGTCCTGCGCTCTCAAAATGCGCTTCGAGCAACAGCGTCGGCGGCAACGACGGCGGTGCAGGAAGAGAAGGAGAAAGGCAATTGGGGGCGGCGCGGGAGTCGTCGTTCGCAAAATCAACGACGGCCGAGCATAGTGGGTCAGTGCTCCCTGGATCGGCGCCCGTGTCTTTGCTCTATTCTGGTCGACGTCGTCGTCGTCGTCGTCGTCGCGACGCCCGCCGATGAATCGGGAACGTGGCGCCGCGCCGTGGACGACCGCAAACGCGTCGTTGCTCGGTAACCTGTGTAATAATAGTTGACGGGAGACACACGAGACATGCGACCTGTGCGACGCGTATTTTAAGAACGCGGATGCAAAATGTCAATAATCTGGCATTGATGCGAAATATTAGAAAAAGTGATTTCCCCGCCCACAGAAAAATGCATCGATTCTTCAACAGTTTCTCACGTCGAGATACCAGCTGCGTACTTTGAATCGGAAATATTCAAAGAGCGTACGCGTGTAAGTAGAAAATATACATCAGACCTTTGTAGGAAACTTTTGAAAAATAACAAGTATTCCTATCCGACGCCGTTGGAGTTCTAAAGAAATCGCGACTCCGCGAGGAGAGCGATAGAATCAAATGTTATCAAGAGGGATTCATACCGATTCAGCTCCCGATCGATTGCTCGCTCGACTCGATCGGGCAATCGATAAATCTCGAACCTGCGCGGCGAGGGGAGAAAAACAGCGCGGTCGTTTGCCGCCCAACCGGCTTTCGATCTATCGGATATGCGCGATTAAGGCCGGCATCGGCGTCGTCGCCACGAGGTAGTAATCGCGCGACTTTGCTCGACCTTGACGCGGCCAGTGCGAGCACGACGTGCGGCGTGGCGCATGCGTGACGCGGGCCCGTTCCTCGGGAGCGTCGAACGACGGCATCCACCACGTGGTTCGGCGGGTTCCGAGGCGCACTGCATGATGAAAGTGTCTTCAGCGCCACG